TAAAAGGAGAAAAGCCCAATGCTCCCGCCTCCTCAAAAGAGGGATTTTTTTTTGTTTGTTTTGTTTTTTATTTCGCAGGCATTGCTGTGCTTGACCGGTCTAAATGTAGAAAGGTCTTAAAGAGTGACGTATCACCAAACTTCACTGTTTCAAATGTAAACGTTTCGTCTTGAAAACGATAATAACAACAACGACAACAACAACAACAATAATAATAAATATAAATATAATATATAATATATATAATATATTATATATATTATATATTATATATTATATATTATACATAAAAATATTTTATATATATAATATATGATATATATAATACATATATGAAAACTATAATAATAATAACAACAATAACAATAACAGTAATAATAATAATAATGTGGTGATAATGATGATGATGTAAAATTACATCTTGAGAAAATGGCTTCTGCTTTCAGTTCTTGCCCACGGGAAGAAGAGCCACTGGCCCAGGGGTTGAAGACCAAAATGATGCTCTGAGATCTCCTAAATCCCCACAAGGCTTTACAAAATCAGCAAGGGAGTAAGAGAGAACAAAGGAAGATTAATTTTGTGTCAGAATTATGGAATGGTTGGAGTTGGGAGAAGCCTTAAATCCCACCCAGTGCCACCCCTGCCATGGCAGGGACACCTCCCACTGTCCCAGGCTGCTCCCAGCCCCAATGTCCAGCCTGGCCTTGGGCACTCAAAGGGATCCAGGGGCAGCCACAGCTTCTCTGGGCACCCTGTGCCAGGGCCTGCCCACCCTCCCAGSGAACAATTCCYGCYCARTATCCCATCTGGCCCTGCCCTCTGGCACTGGGAAGCCATTCCCTGGCTCCTGTCCCTGCAGCCCTTGGAAATTGTCTCTCTCCAGCTTTCTTGTCAACTCCCTTCAGGTGCAGGAAGGCCACAGGTCATGATAATTCATTCTCCAGGCTGAACAATCCAAATTCTCTCAGCCTTTCTATTCCCATGGGAAAGCTCTTTGTTGTCATCCCTGTGGCACAGCTGTCATTGTCATCCTCCTCTCTGGACAATCCTTGAATTCTGGAGTCTTCTCCCTGGGGCAGCCTCCATGTGCCAGGCCCTCCTCCTCAGCCCCTGCAGCAGCTCTGTGTCCAGGGCAATGCTCAGATCCTTCCCAGCCTTGTGATGTGCCAGTGCCTGCTGGAGCAGCAGGAGCTGCCAGCTYGGGGACACCTGGGCTGTGCCCTCCTGTGCCACCCTGAGGGGGATCATAACACCCTGAGCACGGGGCTGTTGGGCTGCAAGACAAGCCCAGGATGGGCTGTGGGATCGTGGCCCTGTCTCCTCCTCACTCCCAAACTCTGTGCCACATCTTTGAGTGTTCCTCGAGGTCCCTGGGCAGGGAAGACGTGGCAACRGTGGCACAGGTGGCAGCCTGTTCCCACAGAGGGAAGAGGCCTGGCTCCAGCYGCCCTTCCCTTCACACCATGGCATGGCACAAGTGTAAACAGTTGTTTCCTTTTCCCTCTGTTGGCCACAGTGGGAATTTTTGCCTGAATAGGTCATCCAGATCTCCTTTGCCAGGCCTGGCACATTCCTGCTGTCACATCTGCACTTTCCCATGGYGTGCACAGTGGGATTTGTCCTGTGCTGGGCTAATTCCAAACCTTTCCCCTCTGTGCRGGCCTGGAATTAACACCTTCCTATTTGTCAACTGTGCCTGTCTCAGGTGAGTTATCCTGTGGGAACTCCCTCCTCTGGCAGTATTTGAGCCCATTTGTTGAATTGTTTCAGTGCTAACAAATGTCCTCTCCTCATCCATCTCTGCTGTGCTCAAACCAACACCGCAGGGATCCCCAATCCCGCTCCCCAGACCCCAACCCACCACCCTCTGGATGCAACCATCCAACCCCTTCCTCACCCATCTCTTTCCAGCTGAGGATATGTATGCAATAGGGATTTTAAAATTATTTTTACGGTCATGAGGAAATCCATGTATCAACACCAGAACTTCCTGAAATTCAGCTCCATTCCATAAACGCCCCTGGATTATAACAACATTGCTTTTCCATATCCACAGCATTCCTACAGCATTTCCATACTGGTGTGCCCAGGCCAGACTGAGACAGGATTCCTTGCAACATCCAACACTTCAGCCATTCTGCGCAGGGTCTATTTAGAAACAAAGACTGGATCCTGAAAACTAAGATTTATATATTTTTATTTTTTACAAAAAATACATTTTAACAAGTAAATAGAAACCATTTCCATAAGTCCACCRTTGTCCAAAGTGTAAATGTACATTGTAAATTTGCCATTTTTAATATAGACATGTGCTCTATTTTGCCAGTTGTCTACAAGAAATTCAGCTACAGTCGGATGGAACATAATAAATAATGATTAAGAAATGGAAAAGCTACACACCAAGAATTGGGAAATATAAACTTTTCAAAAGTCATATGTAGTTATATTACAGCCACCTCTTCCCAAATCAAACATTCAATTTCTCCTTTTATAAAGTACAACTGTAGTGCATTCCTGTTATTGGCATAGAGATCTCTAACTAAAATACTGTCCATGGAAAGAATTCCACTGAACTACAACTAAAAGGGACACAAAGGGATTAACTCAGGAAAGTAGCAGTGCAAAAGCCAAAAATACTGGCTTTATTTAAAAAAAATACTTCCTAGAAATTAACACATTGAACAGTAATTAAATAATTCTTTTTTATTTTTTTTATATTTAAAYGCAAGACCCATTTTTCTGGATGGCTCTTTGGGTGAGCAGTCCCACCACAGAGGAAAAGATGGATTTGCTGTCTTTGCCACYCAGTTTGTCATTTCCAATGACTTGGAAAGAAACCCCAGCAACTGGCTGGGAATTGCTCTCAGTACCATTGCTTCCAGGTTTTCCCACGACCATGGAAAAAGGGAAGATTTAGAGCACAGAACTCTAAAAGGAGAGATGTGAAAAAGAGGAATTCCCTWATCAATAATAAAAATTTTCTGCACCAGTTAAAGCTGAACATTTCAGCTCTAGCTCACTCTGTAAGTAACACTACAGATAAAGACACATCCCTCCTTTTCCAAGTGCTTCTTTTCCACTGATCCATCCCCAGTTTTCAGGATAAAACCCTTAAAAGAAGTCTTCTTTTGGTAGTACCACACGAATATGACCCCTATGGCCCAAATTCTCACCTACTACTTACATTTCTATGCCATTAATGCAACACAGAACATTGCTGGGAGCAACGGAACGACACTGTGGCATACAACAACTCGGGGAGGGAAATGGGGGAAGTTCTTTTTTTGCATTTCTAYGATATTCTGTTTCAGAAGAGGAAATACTCACAGGTATCAATGCTTATATAAGATCCAAAGTCAAAGAAAAGGTGTCTGTAGAAAAGTATTAAGATTCCTAATAGTAAAAATATCTGCAAATTTAATTACAAATWCATTTCCAAAGCAAAATCCTTAATTAAGTACAGCAGGGTCGGTCAGTATTGACAGCATTCCTTTAGGAGGAAGTGAAGGGAACATCTAAACGTGTGGGATATTTACACTGACAGATCCACCTATGTCAAATGTATAAAGTGAAGCAGCACTATTTACAGTCTGGGACCTAAAGGTTATGACGGAAGAGCAATAAAACTCTGCTGAAACACTGAGATATTAAGAACTGCTGATTTCATGCATTTGTTCTACAACTTGCCCTAGGATTTCATCTACCACATCAATGTCATAATTCACTTGCTGCAGGTCCAGGTCGGGCAAGATCGTGGCCAGGAGTTGTCCCACGTTCACTCGCAGAGAGCGGAGCTTCAGG